ATAATAACGAAGTGAAAGTCATGTTCATGAAAAATTGTTCCAAAGACAAGTTAATGTTTTTACCAGATGAAAACGATATCAGTTATGTTTCTTATTCACAAATTGTCGGAGCACTTCCCACCCCTAAGATTATTCAAAAAGGAAATAGGCTTTTTTACAAATTTTCTCAGAAATTGCAACTTTACGCTAGTTATGATACGGTACTAGAGATTTTTTATCTTGGTACGATCTATTGTGTTTTCTGCTCTTAATTTTCCTATATGTAATCTATGTAATTATTTATGTATTTTATCGTACCTGAACATGATTTTTAGTGAGTTAACTTCAAGTCATAACAATTCACTTGTTAAATAAAGAAACACAAAAAACCTTAAATGTACTGATATCATTTCAAAGGGTGTTTAATTTGCCAGAGTTGTTCCAAACTTACTAATTTGTTCAACAATGTAATCTTGTTGTTTTCATACATTTTTCTTTGTTTCATCACATATCCTGTAGATTTAGATGTAATGATTTGATTTTGTAACTCTTCTTTGTTTCAAATTAACAGTACTTTGGTGATGACCATGTTATTTGTCTATGGGTCAGATCGCTAACGTTTTTCTAACATCAATATTATTACTAAAACAAGATAATTCGTACTAAAAGTTGTATTGTCTGAAAATAAGTTGCATTTGTGTTCAATACTCCTTCTTTACATCTCTAAATGTCATAATTAAAGCCGAAAAACGTCTGTTTTGCTAGCGCCGCATCAGGTCACTAACGCCACATCAGATCGCTAACGCTCACAAAAATGAATATAAAATGAATTTAAAAAAATATATTACACTGTTTATGTATTATTTTTAATAGTTTGTTCTCTCTTTGGTTAAAATAGTAAAAAAAAATAATAAAAAAAATTTTTACATTAAATATTTGAAATTATCAATCAAAAACGTGTAAATTTTAGAATGTTCCCGTTATTATTGTTGAGTTTTTCAATATAATAAAAAATTAAATTTTAATAATATGAAAGATGCATTATTCAGGAAACAAGGTAGATGTTAATAAACATCGTTTTTGATTTTCAGTAGTATTTACTTTTTTTTTACTTTTAAAAATGTTAGCGACCTGATGTTTTTTTGTAATTGATAAGACAAATATTCGTAAAAAAATATAAAAACTTACATTTAAGCTCTGCTAAAGTTAGCATGGTATAATGTAACACTTTGTTAATAATTTGGTCAATAAATTGTGTATTTTACCAAAATAATATTTTTTTATTTCTTCAGTTTTCATTTTCTCTCTCAATTTGATATTCACCCTTATAGCATGAAAGTCAATAATTGAGCCTTGCAGTCGTTGATGGCATATTATGATGGGTTTGGTTTTGTCATGATTGATTTGAAGTCCATGTTTTTTGGTCCATTCAATGATTCATCCAATGTCTTTGTTAATGTTTGAAACACAATAGTTAATGTCATTGGCATTGAAGTGTGAGTAAATTTGTAGGTCGTCAGCGTACATGTGGTATTTACAGTGGGTGAGGATTGTGCCAATGTCATTGATGTACATTACAAAAAGCAGAGGCCCAAGGATTGAGGCACACCACATGTAACTATCTCCCAGTCTGATCTCAAGTCATCAACCTGAACACACTGCCGCCTATCTGACAGATATAATCTTAGCCATTTAAGAACACTATCAGAAAATCCTATGGCCCTTAATTTTTGCAATAATAGTCTGTGATTTACACAATCGAATGCTTTAGGCCGGGGCCACACGACGCGGATCATCCGCGTGGTCCGACAACACATTGAATCAAATGAGAGTGGCCACACGGGGCGATCCTAAGCCGCCTGGGCGGAGTGTCCGCGCCATGTCGCGGATTGTCCGCGCGATCATAAGCCGCGTTGGAGGGGATGACACACGTAGTCTTATGAGAGTGGCCACACGATACGGATTGTCCGCGCGGTTGGAGCTCATTTTCAAGCATTTGTAGTGGTTTTTTTTTTAGTTTGTGCTTGTGCATTTCGGTTTATAGGTGTAAAATGTTCGATACAGACAAATCAATAGAACTTGTTAAAGATAATGTGGGATTTCTCATGTTATACATTTCTCATGAGTATATCTTCCTTAGTTATATGCGGTCAAAGCAATTGAAGTAGCTCGTCAAACGATGCTATCTACATGCGATAGTAACGAAAAAAGACTCCGAACTATGGTTTCGCATGTCCTCGTAAAAGGTTTGGAACACAAATGGTTTATCGGTTATGAAATGATGGACCCAATGATTTCGGTTTGCCTTCGGTTGCCTTGTGGTGAGACTCTAGCTCGCCACTTCTGTTATTTTGTAGTTTTACTTTTACTTTTATTACTTTTAATTATAGCTTTTAACATTTAAATAAGGACATAGATGAACTTGTAACAAACTTTATTTCTATCTAAACCAGTCTTCATTATTGATCTTATTTTCATAACACAAAACTAAAAACATATGGTATTAAACTATTAACTATTTTACAGTTTCTAGGAGGCAGAACATTTTGCCATTACACAAAGTACTATAAGTAATTTCAACAGCCACACGCTTCTAATGCACAAACTAACATACGTGTTTCTTCCATGACTACAACGAGAACGAGTGAATTAAACCATGTTAGAATCTCAGTACGTAGGCTGGGAAACCTCAACCGGAAGCGGTTCGTCCGCTCCGTGTGGCCGGGACATCGTCGCACGGCTTATGATCGTACGATCATAAGCCGCGCGGACGATCCGCCACGTGTGGCCCTGGCCTTAGAAAAATCTAATAAGGTAAGAATCGTACCCTGTCGACGTTCCATTGAGAGTCTAATGTCACCTGTAACTCGAAGAAGGGAAGTTTCTGTTCTGTGACCTTTGCGAAAACCAGATTGATAGTGAGAGAGGATGTTATTTTCAGTTAAAAAGTCAGTAATTTGACTGTGAACGATTCTTTTGAGGCCTTTAGATAGAGCGGGTAAAATGCTGATCGGCCTGAAATCCTGACTGATGGTCGAATGAGGGCAGACTTCCAAGATGAAGGAAATGATCTTTGTCTCAAAGACGTATTGAAAATATGAGTAATAGTTTTGAAGAATGGCAAAAAGCATATGTCTGATGAATCGTATTGTTATACCGTCAGATCCGACAGCATTGCTACGAATCCGGCGAATAGCCTTTAAAACATCAGATTGTATAACAGGTTTGAAAGAAACATTAGATATTCCAACCATTGGTCCAATGAGTTAACCAACTCATTAACGTAGTTATTATCTGGTTGTTGGTTGATATTTTGACTATATGAAGAAAAAAAGGAATTTAATTTGTTAAGAGATATACTAACTGGTTGTGAATCAGTTTTCTGTTCCCAGTTCCCAAGACTTTTTACATTGCGCCATAAAACTCTGGATGACTGATTTTTATCTCCAAAAAGCTTGTGAATGTATCTAAATTTTGAGTTTCCCAGCAGTTGCTTGACTCTATTAAGTAGACGTCGATATTCTTCCAATTCAATTTGATCTTGGGAACCTTTTGTTTATCAAGGAGATCATTAATGGACTATTAAGCTCACAGACCATTAAATCAACAGAGGCAAGATTTTCGATGGTGTGCCATGGTATTTGCTGTACGTCTAACATAAACTGAGGCTCATTCATATTCTTGAAATCTCTATATTTAACAAATTTTGTCTTGGGCTTAGGAGCTTTAACCAAATAAACACAGTAGATAAGGCCATGTTGGGATACTACTGGAACGGGAAGCTGCCTGTGATGTAAAATTTCTTGTGGGTCAGAAACAACTATTATATATGAGCAAAAATTATCCGATTTTGATTAAATTTGGTATAAACGTATAAACCTACATTTATTCGAACGAGTTCGCGAACCAGCATGATCGGACTATGGGAACGGGGGTTTACGGGGGTAAACCCCGGTTTTTATGGGGTAAAAATAGGTTTTTCCCATTTTTGACCCTAAAAACACAAAATTTCTTTCCAAACCATTTTGTAGAGCTTAAAAAACAAATAATTATAGTATACTGAAGCGTTGTTGTGTGTCAAGTGGTTACGGGGAAAATTCTACAAAACTGTAAATTAAAAATGTCCATGTTATTCTTATGGAGAATAAGTCAACTGTTGTAGTTTGCTTGTTTATGAATATTTTTGATCGAATTTGGAAAATACATTCATTTCTTACTTAACTATTAACATTTCACAAAAAAAATACACTTTTTTACCCTCAATGTTGCAGCAAACCTAAGTACTTGTTAAACTAATTCTATTTAAATAGGGAACAAATGTGATATTTTTAAGGAGGCATTTTAGAGTCAATCCAATCAGGCTAATGGAAACTCGCTTAGTCTGCAGGTTTGCTGCGGGGGGGGGGGGTATCGAAATCTTTTTATAGTTAAAAGTGGATGAACTTTAAAGTAGGATTCCAATAATAGTTCTAATATTTAGAAATTTGTCTTGAATTCTTCTAATCTTCTGTTAAACCATAGATAAAACATACTCCATTAGTAGATCTGTCATCCTTATGGAAAAGCTGAAGCCAATTTTATTGTTAGTTCTATACACTGCACTGTAGATTTTTTTTTTTTTACAATTTGTTTCTTGTTATTTCAGTCATTTAAAACATTGTTTAACCACATAATATGATCTAATCATAACTTGTCCTCTAGTTATATAACCAAACAGTAAAACACAAATCATGAAAATAACCCTAAAATAATAGAAACAAAATTTTGTCGACACTAGCGATCAGTGTCGACTTACATGAACTAGACACGAAAATCGAGCTTAAAAATAAATGTACAATAGGATGAGAAGTATTCTTGTGTGTTGGTTAGTCTATGGTGTAATTCCTTGAATTTTTCAAGTAAGATTTAGTAGACTAAATCAAAGCTTACAAGGTTTCAAGGCTACCCGACCTTGTAGTATCGTTTTATACCGTGACAACGGTTTAGTTAACCGACCTTGAAGTTAGTTTTACTGTTTCCAGGGTGGTCCGCAACCGTTCCAGATTACCACAGCCAGCTGTGTTAGTGGGCACGTTTGTTAGTGTCACTTGTATGATAGTGACTACTCTCACATATATGGTCTGCTACTCTACCATACAGATGTCCAACAAAGCCAAGCACTCTCTGTCCAACACTTGGCTGGCCATCTCAGCCCTCTGCTTGGTATTCAGGTAAATTTTTACTATACAGTAAAAACCCTCTAGTGTGGTATCCAATGGTCCTCAACTTTCAATAATCCGTCATTGGTCCAGAGGTCCAACAAATTTGTTGTACGCTTTTTAAGCCATTTTAACACATCATGTAGAGTAAGTGGCAAACGGCAGACATCAGTTGCATTCAGAGGATTTTGGGGACGTTTTATTTTTTATTTTCTTTTACCATCACTACTAAAGTAAGAGGAATCAAAATAAAACAGGGAACATCCCGATTAAGTAAAGATATTAATTGTACATCATTTATATTTAGCAGTGTTTCTGCTAGTACAGTAGAACCTTGATTATTTGGGGTAGTTGGTGGAAGGGAGAAAATTGATAACTGAAAACTACGGTTACTCCAACATGGTATAAAAATATATGAATAATTACTGTTGTACAGCATACAAATGGACGCGTTGCAGAAAGTCAACAGTGCCGGAAGGTCAAATAATTTATACTTGTGCCAATAGGTCAAAAACTACAATGTTTGCAGTGTCTGTAGATCAAAAATCCCAGTAAGTCAAATAATACAGTCCGTGCTAAAAACGTAGTCTATGTTAAAGCGATTGACACATTGGGAATTTGACCTAATGCAACAGCAACAGCAGTTTTAATATAACGAAATACGATCAAATATAAGTTCAGTTTCGCTGAGTCAAGAGGTTTTCATACAAGAACGGTTTATCGCAAGAATAAATTGTTTAACCTTTACATGTATATATCACTGAAAAGAAAAACTTTTAAAACGTTATATTTCAACAACACTGGATTGGAGGCAATTTTTAATTAGGTACTTGGTTTTGAGTTTGGAAACCTAAACTATATTAAACTATTGCAATCCAGCTGTCCGTTTCCCAGAGATAGAAGTATGTAACAAATATGTTCCATTAACTGAATAACAAAAGTTGACAGCATATTTCCTACCCAGTCAAAAGAATAAGAGAAAACTTTAAATGGGGGACATTCCTTTATTTTGTGTGGCAGTTAAAAATATGATTTTAGTTTTTTGAAATTCAGCCGCCATTTTCCAAAATGGAGGCCAACTTTGAAATTTCTTATGGAACACCCTATATTTTATCATGTTTTCGAATAGAATATGCAATTTAAAAACTTTTTTATTATTGACATTTTTTCGATAAACCCACTCGTTTAGGAGTTACAGCCTATGGAAAAATGACTTCCGGTGTACATTTTACATCATGTAGCTCCTAAACAAGTAATTTTAGAGCAAAATTGCAAGAAGTAATTTAGTCATAGAATTGCATCTACTAGTCCTGTGAGTGTTTGGATTTTTAAATTTTGAAAATATAATTTACAAGGACTTCTGGGGTGGGAATTAGTCATAATTCGGATGAATCTTTTCTGAAGTCTGAAAATAGTTTTTGCATCAGTTGCCTGTCCCCACAAAATCACACCATACCTCAAGATGGATTCTACATAGGCATGATAAACCATTTTAAGTAGGTACTTCAATGGTGACACATTCTCTCAAGTGGACAAAGACTGATGATGCAGATCTAATTTTTTTCTTTATAACATCTAGATGCACCTTCCAGTTAATATTTTCATCTAGATGAATGCCTAGGAATTTATTTGAATTGACTAAATTGGAAAAACTATTTAATTCTCTTTCATTTCTGGCTGAAAATTTGATAATTTGGGTTTTATCCACATTAAGTTTAAGGCCATTTATTTTAAACCAATTTTCCATTTCTTTCATAACTTCTGTGAGAGATGTAAGAAGCTCTTCTCTACTATTTTCTTTAATGATTGCAGTAGTATCGTCAGCAAACAGAATCAAATCTCTATTAATAGCTTTAGGGAGGTCATTTATGTAGATTAAAAAGAAAAGGGGACCTAAAATGGAGCCTTGAGGCTTGAGGCACCCCAAGCTTTATACATTTCCAATGTGAGAAATGCCTGGTTCCTCCATCAGAAATTACAGTTCTTTTTTTCCGATCTGAAAGGTATGATCTAATTAGGGAAAGACAACTTCCTGAAATTCCATAGTCATGTAGTTTTTTAAGCAAAAGCGAATTATCGACACAATCAAAGGCCTTGGATAGATCACAGAAGACACCAGCTGCATTCCTTGACCCGTCCAAAGCCTCCGATACCTCATTAATAAAGTGTACAAGAGCTTTATTTTTTCCAAGGTTTTTCCTGAAACCAAATTGATTTTGATAAAACAGATTATTATGTTCAAATAAACAAACTAATTGGTTATTTATAACTTTTTCAAAGACTTTAGAAAATTTGCTTAAAACTGATATTGGACGGTAATTGTTGATATCTGACCTAGAGCCTTTTTTGAAAATTGGAGTTATTTGTGAGTTTTTAAGTTTGTCTGGGAAAATTCCATTTGTTAAACACCGATTTATGATAATAGATAAGGGTTCAGAAATTAAATTTACAGCAGCTTTAATTAATTTGATCGGTACTTCAACCCAACCCACAGAAGTTTTGTTTTTTGGGGAAAGAATTTTTTTTTCACTTCGCCCTTACTAATCTGCTGCAGATTACACAACAAAATTCCTTCATCTCTACAATAGTCTCGAACAGATTCATGAACTCCTTGCACGGTGGCCTTTGGTACATTAATATTCAAAGCTGTTTAGGCAAAGAAAGTGTTAAATATTCTAGTTATATCCTGAGGTTTACATATTATATCTTTGTCGTTATTAATTAAAAATAATTTGCCATCAGTTTTGTTTTTTACGTGACCAAGTTCTTTATTAACAACTTGCCAAGCAGCTTTAGACTTATTTTCAGACTTTTCTATGTAGTCACCATTTGCAATTATTTTTGCCTTCTTTACTACTTTTTTAAAGATTTTTTTTGTACTGTTTCACATACATTAAAAACTGTCTATCTTGATTATACTTAGCTTGCAAGTAGGGATGGTCAAGTCTCGAAATTTCGGGAAATTTTCAGGAATTTTTAAATCTCGTTACACGAGACGAGATTTATTTTTGGCCGAGATTTTTATCGAGACGAGAATAAAAAAAATAAAATTTAAAACGCCTGCAGAAAGTCAATGCAATACCCGCAATACAGGAGCGTGTTGTAGTTGTGTTTCCTTTGCGAAGGCGTTCTCATTGAATTAATTCTTCAAATGTAAATATTACTTTAATTATTTTAATAACTGAAGAGTTTTTTTGTTAAGTGTTAGCAGTGTGAGGAATGTTTTATTACTATAAAAAAAGTCAAAACAAGTAACTATTTTATAAAAATTAATATTTTATTTTATGATTTATTTTATTTTAGGATAAGTTGAACTCTATCCTAACTGATATCACTATGTTTCCTAATCGTAGGCATTTTTAATAAGTTAGGCGTGATTAATAAAAAAAAGGTATGCTGATGTTTTTTAATAAAATATTGTAAATATTCTTGCCTATTATCATTATTTTTGTATTTAAACAGTCGTCTAACAATGTTACAAAATCAGGTAAAAATTCCGAACATGCATTTCCCGTTGTGTATGAGAAGGGAAATCCCGTCTCGATCTCGTCTCAAAATTTTATGAGAAATAAAAAATCTCGTCTCGTCTCGTCTTGAACTAAAAATCCAATCTCGTCCATCCCTACTTGCAAGTGGAGTTCCCTTTTCCTCACACTAGATATTTTGATGCCTTGTGTCACCCAATTCAAAACTGTTGGCTTACATTTACAAGTTTTTTTCAAAGTTTTTGGAGGAAAAACGTGATTGAATGCTAGTAGGAATTGGTGCAGAAAGTTGGAATAGTTTTCACTTGGGTTCAAGCTCGGATCAAAATTAAAATTGCAATTACTTTTAAAAAATCTATGAAGTAATTAATTTTTTCATTTGAAAATATTCTTTTACTAGATGGTGCCGGATTATTTACAGCAATCTTACAGTTAGTTGGCTTGGGGAGATTTAAGAAAATAGCATTATGGTCTGACATACATAAATTAGTATTTAGCTTAAAGTTTACCTCATATTTCTTTTGCGTAATAATATTATCTAGACAAGTTTCTGAATTGCGATTTGGGTCTATCCTTGTGGGCTCCTCAAACTGCAGCCAGAACCCACCACACTCAACCACTTCTCTAAATCTACAAGATATAGGATTGTTGTCCAAAATGTTAATATTAAAATCACCGGTGATGAAAACAGACTTATTTTTTACTCTTTTTTGCAGAAGCAAAAGCAGCTTTTCGAATCTAACCAGAAACAATTTATTCATTTTGTAGGTTGGAATTGTATAGACTGAAATAACAATTAAATTGAAATCTGGGAGTTCAACTGCTGAACCTTCAAATATAAAATCTTCATTCAAATCAGAGAAATCCAAAGGTATAAATTTACATTGTTTATTAATTAAAATACATGAACCTCCTCTTACACAATTTTCTCTTACATAAAAATCCGCCAAACAAAAATTATTGATTGTGTTAGCCAGATTAATAGAGTCATTGTCAAGCCAATGTTCAACAAGTGATATTACTTTAATTTTTAAAGCAGACTGAGTTAAAAACAAATTGAGTTCTGATATTTTTGACGAGCTTAAATTTTGAATATTATAAAACATTATAAGATCTGAATTATATTCTGGATAAATAAGTTGTGGATTTTTATTATCTTCAGTTGAATTTATGTCAAAATTATTTATATCAAAATTATTAATATCTGTTACTGTAAAATTTTGGAGACTGGCAGACTTATGGTCTTTGTCAGTACAGCTTAGTTTAAATCTAAATTTACAGAAGAAAATAAATCACTATTTTGAATGCAAGACACTTTACTCTGCTTTTCCACTGCACACACTGGTGTTGACTTCAGTGCCTCACTGTAGACTTCAGTGCCTCACTGTAGCTGAGTTGATCAGTTACCAACGCAGGGCTGACAGGTCTAGAAGGATTCTCTTCCGGGTGTACTATGGGACCAACAGATTGTGAAGAAGTCAAGGCAGCAGGTTGAGGTCTGACAAGATAATCCTGTTTTGTCGAGCTAGAGAACTGGGAGCCCTCTTCGGTTTGCTTTGATGGATCCTCAGAGTAGTTGTTCTCAGCAGAAGGCAGGACAAAGGTAGGTTGATAGGAATTAAGAAGGTTCTGCAACTGCTTCAGAAATTCTGCATACGACAGCCCATTCCACAGTTTTCTTCTGGCAGTAGGTTGATCATATGCTACTACGACTACGGTTGCATTGGTCTCATTCTGCAATTTAGTAATGTTTCTCATTAAATGCTCCAGCTTTATTTGGTCACGGACAACACCCATGGAGGAACAAATCAATTTGTTAAGTTTCTTTCTTTTGAAGTCTTGAATAAGTTGATCAAATGCCTCGTCATACTCTTTATTCGATGGTTTCCCATTGAACAAGTCTTTTGTGACAAGGCTATAAATTGTCGCACCATTTTGTTTAGTCTGGCATGTCAATCTGGAGCATACAAATTCAGATTGTTTTGGTCTTCCAAATTGTTTTCGGAATACGACAGCGACACCCGCGCTCATGTTCCTTTCATGCTGAAGGTCACTAGAAATTGTATGGGCAAAAGCCACAGACGGGTCATTTTTGTGACTATCAATAACTTTGTTCATGTTAGCAGCAATCACATTCACTGAGTTCAATGTGATGGATTGATTTTGCCTAACAGTTGACTTCACTTGAAATATTTCTTTAATCATTAGGGCTATCTTATTTTTTCCGTGCCTGTTGAAATGCAATCCATGCCTAGTATATGATTCCCTTGTTAGACTATTTATAGCTAGGAAGGAAACATGGTCGAATTTTTTTGCAATTTCCTCCATATCCCAATTGAGGTAGCTTATTTTGTTATTTAAGGCTGGATTATGGTGTCTGTACGGTAAGCCTGAAATGATAACATTGGTGTGTTTAGTTTGATCAAGCAGACTTTCTACTTCATTGCTTAGACATCTTTCAGCTTGAGCAATATCATCATTCGACCCTCCTAACCAGACTAATGTATCTTCCTTAGAAAAGTTTTTTGTTAAGGCTTTTACATCCTTTATGACGTTTGCCGTCATCGCATTAGGTTTAAAGATGTTGCTTATCCTAAATTTATTTTCGGGCCATAAGTCCATAAGATTTTGCACAATGTACCTAGCATGACTATCCCCAAGAATCAATATTTCCTTTGCTTTTCTTTAGTGCTTGTCATGGATGCGATTACTAGGGTTATTTAGTGAATTTGTCACCGCTTTTTTTTAACTAACTGTCTCACTTTCATTGCCTTGCTCCATCTTTTGGGATTCAAGTTTCTTGTTTTTGCTCTTTTCTATAAATTGGAGTTCAGCTTTGTTCTGATTTGTCGACTCCGCTTTGCTCAGTTTTGCTCCTGGTGATCTTTCAGCTATGCTATTCTTACTCTCCACCACCTCTTGGAATTTATTTTTACTCTTCTCTGCTTCTTGAGTTTCTCCAGTTTTAGGTCACATTTTTAGGGCTTAGGTCACATGTTGGCCTGACTTGAAGTAATGTGACAAACAATTCCAGGTCTGTGTCCAACAGAGTAGAGGGGGTTTTTTAGTGAGTAGTCTGTGATAGATTCAGGAGTCTCACACTATAGGCTGACTACCTGTGTGCGTAAAAGCATTATCCCTCCATCCCTAAAAAAAAAAAAAAAATAGGGGGAGAAAGTAAAAATAAGTTGTCAAAGATTTGCTATACGCTCCTGAATAAACTCGTACCATACCAAGCATACATGCAAATGAGTGAACAAAACGCAGTATCGCGCGCGCAACAGTAGCCTACTACATCAGGAGCAATGACCTACATCGCATTCACACAACTGCGCCGCCATCGAGTACAACCCAACAAACAGCAATCGTTCGTGTTGGGCAATTGTTCAATCCATATCGCCGAGTCTAGTCCAACAGTCCAGTCTAGTGTAGTGCGACGCTAAGTTCAGTCCAGTCCAGTTAGCAGCACTTGCAGCGCACCAGGCGATGGTTCCATGAACTTCGTGGTGACGGTGTTGCGATCTAGTTAGAGGGGTCAGTACTACGTGCATCCACAGTGCACAACGTAGTACATTGTAGAATTTTCCTGTTCACGCGTTCGCCCGCATAGTCTTCAATCTATAGTGTTATATAGTTAATGGCTGTACCCAGTGGCAGGCCCCGGTAAAGATATTAGGCCTGCCCACCCCCCCTCCCCTCTTGAAGTCGGGCCCCGGTAAAATTGTCCGGAAAAACTGGTCTGAGTACAGCTCTGAAGACTGCTGTTCCATAAGTAAATTGCATAAAATATTTATTTGCAGTTTTTTTTCAGAACAGCTGAAGGTTTTGAAAACATTTTTAAAATAGCAACTTGCATTTGTTACAGTCTTGGAATATATGAGACAGAGGATTTAGTAACTTGTGAAGTGATTGGTCTCCTAGTCCATTATTTCACTCTGTGTTCCTTGTTCTGGATGGCAGTAACAATAAAGTAAGTTAACAAAAAATAAATGAGTACTGTATTTTATTGATGTACACCGTAGAAATATTTTATTGCTGAGCCTAAAATATTTAGTTCAAACTTAAAAATCAAAACTTCGAGAATTCCCAGTTGTTTCAGTGAATTAGTTGACATTTGTTTTGCTTATGTTAAAAGTTCTATGTATTCAATGTAGGAAATAAATCTGAACAGTTTTCACAATTTTCAAATAGGCTAATGTAAATGAGATTGTGATGTTTTCATAAAACTCTCATTATGTTTTTTTTTTTTTTTATTTGAATACATTACAAGAGTGACATTATGTTGGATAGCTGAAAAAATCACATAAAATTACATCAAAATTTAAAATTGTTATAACAAAAATCAATTTTTATTTTTAAAGGTACTTGTTGGAAGGACCATAATTCCAGGTGGTTGTTGTTACAGCGGCATGTACAAGAGAATGAGGCAGCCTGAGGTGGTGACTGCTGGCTCAGAGGACTTAGCTGAGCCTGTAGTGGTCGGCCAACCACTGGTGGGATTGTACCTGGTAGGGTGGGGAGTAGCTGGGCTACTGTGTGGCCTCAGTGGGGCTGTCAACCTGCCACACTATGCTCCTCCATGTCACTGCAGGTACTGTCTAGTCTGGTGATCTTTTTTTCAGATTAGCAACCACGGCTTTAAACCTAGGTTAATTTTCAAGCAGAGTACCAAGTTTTTTTAAAAAGATCCTCTTAATCCTTGGGGTTGTCATAATCACATACACAAAGTGGCACGCATATAGGCCTAGACATTTTAAAATTTCTAAGATTCAACTTTTATAGCCTACTGTTGAGCCATTTTTGTTTAGTTTTGAATTAGTTGTTATTTGCGGTTATCACCAAATATATGGTGTTAAAGAATGTTTGTTTCCAGCCTGGGCCCTGGGCCAGGAGTGAGTGCATTGACTGTGCCATGTGTGGGAGTGGTGCTCTATCTCCTAGCTCGCTCTCTGATGGTGCGATGTGCTACACTCAGCATAGAGAGTAACGCTCAGCTGTCAGAAGGCACTCAAGCAACTGACCTAGAACTGCTAGACAACAATGTACCCCTGGAGAGAAGCAGCCTTCACAGTGTCGTCACGCCTTCCAGTCAAGTGGAAGACCTTGAACACTGCCCCTCCACCCAATTAAAGGCTTTCCTAATTGTTTTGATGCTCTTCATTCTTATTTGGATATCTGCAGCACTATCAGTTCTAAAGCCTTTCAACATACCTTACGAAGAAACAATATTTAGCTTCTCATACGCTTTTTTCATACTAAATCTCGGAATATTTGTCATCTTCTTTCATTGCTTTGCGAGAAACGATGTGAGATCAGGATGGTTCTCAGTCAAGCCTTGTTTCAGAACAAGGAATGTTTCTGATTCTCGAGCTGCTCCACCTCCATTAGTCTCTTCGTCGGATAGTTTAAATTCGAGTTCGGGGTTGAAATCTGCAGCAATCACTTTAAATTCCTCTCCACCCCAAGGAGTGAATAAAAACGCATCTCCTGCAAATCTCAACTTGGTGTTACTGCATAGGAGGCAGTACCACACTAATAATCTGGTCAATAGCGGAAACGAAGCAGAGGTGTTTTACAATCCCCATCAGAGCGGGGTCGCACGCAAGTTCTTCAAGAAGCAGCGTCGTAAGCAGAACAATCTTGGTACCAGGCGATGTGGAGACGGAGGGGGCTCCCCAGGTCCCTTCATAGGAGGAGCCAAAGTCAACAACACTAACTTCCATGTGGAATTCCCTGAGCAGCGACCTTCCTCCAACCCAAACATCCTCCATGGGGAGGCTCCACTGGAGCGCTTGGTCATTGGAGCTGAAGGGTCTCAACCCATCCTCAACAATGATGGCAGCTTCAGAGTTGGATACTCTACTGAAGATCAGGTTTGTTGAACTTACTTGGGATACATATAAGATCTATATTAGTATACAGTATTACAATCGTACTTAGATTCAACAATTGTCTGGGTAGCCGAGTGGTTATAGTGCTCGCCTTCAAATCTGAAGGTTGCTGGTTCGATTCCAAACAAGATTGTTTTCAGACCCAGATGCCATTTGTCATTGGGCTATGAATTAATGATGGTATCAAACAAAAAGGTCGACGTTAGGTAGTAACAAAACCAGGGGTTGGACCGGTCCCTTTCAAAACATAAATACCCCCGCCGCAGCAAACCTGCAGACTAAGCGAATTTCCATTTGACTGATTGGATTTACACTGAAATGTCTACTTACAAATATAACATTTATTCTTGATTTAAATAGAATTAGTTTAACAAGTACTTAGGTTTGCTGCATCAGGGAGGGTAAAACTGCTTTTTTTTGTAAAATGTGAATAGTTAGTAAGAAATAAAAACATTTTCCAAATTTGATCAAGATATGTTCACAAACAAGCAAACTACAACAGTTTACTTATTCTCCATAAGAATAACATGGGAATTTTAAATTTACAATTTTTTGGAATTTTCTCCGTAACCATTAGGCGCATAATAACGCTTCAATATACTAAATTATTTGTTTTTTTAAGCTCTACAAAATGGTTTGGAAAGAAATTGCTAAATTTTATGTTTTTTGGGTCAAAAATGGGAAAAACCTATTTTTACCCCATAAAACCCCCCGTAAACCCCCGTTCCCATGGTCCGATCATGCTGGATCGCGAACTCGTTCGAATAAATGTACGTTTACACGTTTGTACCAAATTTCATCAAAATCGGATAATTTTTGCTCGAGTTATCGTGCTGACGGACACATATATATATATATATAAATATATATATATATGAATTTGAACGGATGGTGTTTTTGGCCTCTAGGGACCTCAAAACGAAAATAAAAATCGGTCCCACGTCCAGGTCTTACCATGAGTACTACGGTAATAGCTTATTCCTATATGGGAAATTCGCTAAAAATGCCACTGATGTAGAAACACACACAAAATAATATTAATAAAAATAAAGAATGAATTACAAAAAATATTATTTTTAATTCTTTAATTTAACCATAATTATTAGAAACTACTAATTGAACTCAATCTTCTCAGTAGAGGAACATAAAGCAGAACAAGAACAAAGTTGGTTTTAACAATTACTCTTTATTTAAAGTAATTTTAACATTCTCAATCAACTGGTCATGAACAATTTTCTGAAAGCATTTTAATACATTAACTTCATTTCATAGATGATAATGTCAAAAACTGTTTAAACTGACCATAAAATATATATAAAAAAACCATACAGTAGAACCTCGCTAATTCGATCGCTCACCGCCTACGACTATACTCCATGAAACATGCGCACCCTCCTATCATAGCGCAATTTATCTCAAGAACTGTCAAAGATCAATGGTTAACAGCTGCGAGGAAGAAGAGGAATCTGAAGTCGACCGACTCGTCACCTATCCTACACCCGAGCGAGGTTTACGTCAATGACCACCTAACAGCCTGCAACAAACAACTCCTAGGACATGTGAGGGGGATGCAGCGCGACGGCCTCATCCACTTCGCTGGGTACTTCAATGGCAAGATCCTGATTAAGCCAAGAGAGAAGGATGCTGCGATTAGGATCTGTCATCAGGTTAGACAAATATCAGGTTGGCAAGATCCTGGTCAAGCCAAGAGAGAAGGATGCTGCGATCTGTCATCAGGAGGAGTTGGACAAATATCAAGTTCAATCTAAATAGGAATGTATGTATATGTATGTATATGTAGGCCTTCTATATTATTTTAGTACAGTATTTCCATTTTCAAATTCAACCATTTTTCTCTCTATTTCAAACAATATATTATGCGATAAGTCCCTGTTCGGGCGCCATTTTGTAACCCGCTTCCGGGTGTTTTTCGTTAATTTGTCGGGTCGGGGAGTTACTTGTCCCTGATAGCCTAGCCGAGCTGGGTTATTCCGGGGGTCAATTTTGGTCGAGTTTCCCACTTTTGTCTCCTAAAGTCGTTTTCCTGGCTCAGGCGGGAATGTTATGCCTCTTGGCTTTATTCGTGCCTCATCATCGCCAGGAAACGAGCGAATAAAAGAGGGAGGGCGAGGTTTTGTTTCGAAGTTATTGCTTCGTGCGCGACTCTGTTCACAGCCTCCTCGGTGGAGTATTAATTATTTATTTAATTTACTACCCTACGTCCGTGCGCCACGGACCGAGCAGAATTAGTTTAGATGCGTCTTTATTATTTAAAATAATACAATGCGTTTCGGGCGAGTGGACTAGTTCAAAGCCCCGTGAGAGAGTAGGAATATGGAAAGGTGCAAACGAACATACAGAGTAGGGCGGAGAAGGGTCGTTATAGAAAGAGTAACATACGAGACACACACACACACAGACAGGTTGAGCACACAAAGACTCATTTCAAATAGATTAAGCCTAACTAAAAACTAACTTATTCCCAGATTTTCCGGGATAGCTTAGGTCTAACTTATAAATAACCTATTTCCGGTGTGCCCGAAGTAATTAAAGCTAACTTATAAATAGCTTATTTCCGGGTTTTCCGGAATAGATTAAATCTAGCTTATTTCCGGTGTGCCCGAAGTAATTAAAGCCAACTTATAAATAACTTATTTCCGGGGTTTCCGGAATAGATGAAATCTAGCTAATAACTAACTTATTTCCGGGTTTTCCAGAATAGGTTAAAGCTAACTTATAACTAACTTATTTCCGGTGTGCCCGAAGTAATAGCGAAAGAAGAAAGAAAAGTTTGCCACAACAAACATTCATAGTCATAAGGTGACAGAGTAGAAGACTTATAGCTAAGAGCTTAAGTGCTAATTAAATCTAACTTATTTCCGGTGTGCCCGAAGTAATAGAGAAAGAAGAAAAGCTACTTAGCAAACTACAGCTAACCAAAGCAGTTAGCTGCACACACAACACATACAACACACAGATCACTCAATTAGCAACATTCCAGGAATCAAGGAAATGGTGAAGAATGGAAACAGAGGTTGGGGCTTAACTGTCTAACGTCACGGCGAATTAAAATTCCCAAAGCCAATCAGTTTTCCCAAAGCCTTTTAAGCATTGATAGTCAAAGGTTAAGCGTTATGCTAAGATTTGAAGCAATTTCGATGGTTAGTGTGTTAGCAGCGGAATCGTATCATAAGTTAGAATATTTAAATGCATATTGTTCAACACATCAATAATTACTAGGCTAAATGAATAATGAATAATGAAGTTGTAAATATAGCAAAGAATAGTAAAGCAACTACATAGAACATTAACAGTTAATAGCGGCTAAGCAACGACATAGAACATAACTACTGTGCACTGGTTCTAGTATAAAAGATAATGAATAGCTACAATGGTTAGTACAGTTCTGAAATATGTACAAACAAATTAAAGCGTGTTAGTTAGTAAAGAAGCCAACAAAGTATTAAAATCACTCTAATAAATCCACTATTAATTTGCTCTTGTAAGGTCCCAAATTGGACCTCTATTCAATTTTAAATTAGAGCGGGAAATGTTACCGGCAGTGTCCACCCGCAGCACTAGTAGCGTCTTAAGGACGTAGTGGTAGGGGTAGGGCGAGAGTTCTCCAGGACCTAGGATCAACCGACACTCGATCGGCCGGCGTGTAGCTGGTCACTTCCCTCTCTTGACTACTCCCTGTTAACCCGCTCTCATTCACAAAAACCCATTGGGTAAAATAAACGTGGACGTCGTCCCTATTCTAAACGATCACCAACTGTAAGTACTCTGGGTATTAAATATAATTAATTAAATTCACTACTATTAATTTTGCTGTAATATTCCTTTTTGTTGGAATTTATGGGCCACGATAGTTTCGAGCTAAAACAGTTAGATAGGTTATACTCTTAACAAGACTATTTACGGGTATTGTTAGTTGTCTTCTTGAGAGTAGATTTATTTCATGGTGTAGACGGATAGTGGTCTACTATAGTTTTATTATTAAAATTCGATTGTTAGGGGACGGGCGAAACAGCTCACGTCCATCGATAGTAGCTTAGCTCTACAACTGTCTGTAACAACCACAAGTTATAATTGTTAAAGAACGTACTCTACTTAGTTTTATTATTAAAATTCGATTGTTAGGGGACGGGCGAAACAGCTCACGTCCATCGTAACCGATAGTAGCTCAGCCCTATTCCTCTTCATTCATAACCATAAATTATAGTGGTTACAGAACGCATTTTATTGTATTAAATCGGATTACTAGGTGGCGGGCGAAAAAGCTCAGCTTATATTAAATCACTACTTATTACAAATTACGATGATTATTAGGTGACGGGCGGAACAGCCTTGTCGTGATCAGTCCCGTCGTGTGGTCTATTAATTAATACACATCTATCTAGATTAATACACTTAAAATAATTGTTTTAAACCTGATATATTCCCACGTCACACCCGGGTGAAACAACTCAGGGAACCTAGGACGTAGTTGTTAGTCGTGACAATAATTTTCGTTAGTTATTTTTAGTTTTGATTTTATTAGTTTTTATTAAAAGGTGAAGTAACCTTTGTAGAAGTAATTTTATTTTGGTGAGCGTAGGTAACGCACGAGCGATAGTGTTTGTTCACGGCTAACCTAAGGTTCTTCCTTTTTGTGACGTTTGATTAACTTTTTTTTTACTTAACTTCAATGATAATAAAAACACGATCGGGGATTAATTGGCTTTAATTTGGGCAATGATGATGACCAATGATTTACTGAATCAATGATAACATCCTTTGGTCTGAGCCCAGCCAATTAATAATATAAATTGAACCCTGGACACACCTGACTGTTAGCAGATCCGAGGCATATAAGGTGTAGTTTTACCCCCCTCGGAATTAACACCTTACAAATTGGCGCCCGAACAGGGACTTAATTAATTAATTAATTATACCGTATTGTTGTAGAATCTTAAACTTTCAAAATGAGAATTTGGCGT